GAGTAGGCAAAAGGATGGTTAGATCTGGGGCTGGAAGGGCACCACTTAGCCTGAGTGATGTGAAGCCAGGATGCAGTCCAGCAACTTTGATCCTGTTGAGGTTGCCAAGAATATCAGGTATGGGTCACTGTAACCTGGTTGAAGTCCTTGGAATGATTTGCTATAACAGGGCTTTAGTAAGTATATCAGCAGTCTCCCTGGTTGTGTGAAAGGCTTTTATGTATCCTGAAAAAGTATAAACAAAGGTGAGAAGGCAAAATTTATCTGTCAGTCTTGACCAGGGTTGCCTGAGAAATTGGTGAATAAGAAAGGAAGAGGGCTATTTATATCACTGAGGAGAGGTTTACTAGTGATAACAGGTGTAAGCTGTTGAGGCCTCAGTGTCTGGGTCAGCCTGTATAAACACAAGGGAATAAAAAGCATTTTTAAGATTTAGGACTGTAGAGTGAGTGGTGGAGGGAAGATTTGGCACCAATGGGTAGATTGGAAAGAAGCAGTCTGGGACCTGCACGAAATAGGCCCTGATTGTAAATGGCATAGGTTGACATTTAATACCCCCTAGAGATTGAGGACTTACTATAGCGGCCTGAAAACTCAGGAAGAACTCTGTATATATGGCCTCTATGTCCACAAATATACAGAATGTCTTACCTGAGACTTTTAGTGGGCCTTGGACTCTGAGACAGACACCCATAAAGTGGGCTGCTGTTGGCCCTGAGCCCCATCAGTCTTCAGCAGCAAGTTTAAGCAGATCTGTCGGCAATGAATCTGGCAGTATTGGCATTTCCTGTGAGGGCTGGAAGTTAGGATGGCTTACCTACTCTCTGGTGGCTAGGACAGTCCAGTAGCCCTGGGGTAAGGTCTCAAAGGAACACCAGGATGGGGCACTCTCTTGCAATATCTTCTGCTGCATTTGAGGCATGGTGCATGGAGGAGGGCCCTGGCAGCTCCACCTTGTGTCGGTTTACCTGTCTCAGAACTCCAAGTGTCACAAGTGTTATTGTTATCTCTGTTGTTGAAAACATGAAAAGCCATATTAAGGTCTCTATGAGGTTTGAAGGTCAAGTTTTGCCTTTTTGTTTGGGATCTGGACTACAGTAGAAGGTATTTGTAGAATTAAGTAAGTAGGCAGGAGTTAAATATAATCAACAGGGTATTTATAATTTTAGTAATGGCTTCTCATAAGGAGGACAGGTCCAGAGAATTTTAGGAACTGACATGTTATTTATGTCATATATATAAGTATCTCTTTATGTTTTTAAAATGTCTAATGCCATCTGATTTTTGGAGAATGGCCTGTTTAATTTTTTATCTTTTTATTTAAGAGAGAAATCAGCTATGGTGTCATTTAATATCAGTTGAATATAGTTAATTATGGCTCGGTGAAGGGCTGAGTCAGGGCAGGCAGATAGGCTGGGAAAGGTTTAAGTTTGGCTTCTGCCGCAGCGTTGGTCTTGTTGTTTTGCATATATCATATAACCCTTGTCTTGGAAAACAGCCAGTAGTTCCCAGCAAAAGGAAATTATAATTATTTTTTAATTTTAGTTGTTAAACAGGAGATTGGTGACAATACAGTATAATATAGGCAGTAAGCTTAACATAGAACCTTATTGGTGGTTTACAGCAAAAGGAATTTATAAATACCTCTTAATTTTTGTTTTTAAATGTTTAGGAGATTACTGAGGGCTTTAATTGATAAACAAGGCTGGTAAAATTACCAGGTGGCCACTTCCCCGTTTATCAGCCAAAGTCTTGTCTATTGCCAGCTTATTTAACCTTGATTAAATGATTTGACAATATAGAAAATAGCATCTCTGAGCTGAGCTGCCCAGCTGCTGTTTATCTGTATTTATGGTCCAGCGCACGGGCAGAGCACGCCCAGCATGGGGGTGGGGCACACAGAGTGAAGGCAGGGCGAGCGCCAGGAGGTAGTGCTTGGGGCGGGCTGGGACTGCCCCAGAAATGTGCAGGGCGGGGGAGTGGTGGTGGCGGCGGCAGCAGCGGTGGGGTGGCGCATGGGGGCAGAGCTGGGAGGCGGCCTGATATGGAGCTGAGTCACCGTGTGGAGCTGGAACTGCTCGAGGGGCATGCGGATTAGGGCGCGGCGTTAGAGCTGATCCTGCGCGGACCCGGAGCACGGCATGAGAGCGAGATAGCACATGGAGTTGCGGCGCGGCGTGAAAGCTTAAAGCAGCCGCTCTTATCTCTAACACTGTTTGGATGTACCTCCCATCTCAGCGGGGAATGGGTTGGCGTGGTGGGCGGGGGGGAGAGAAAGTATCGAGGAAACAAAGGGATGCTGGTGGGAAAGGACACACATTCTTAAAGGCTTAAAGATAGAGAGTTTTGTAAACTTGTCATCAGTGTGATAAGCCACAGATAGGTATTTTTTTTGGGGGGGGGGGACAGGAAGTGGTCCCCAAGATAAAATCTGGTGTGGGGTCTGGCCCACAGAGTTATAGCCAGATGAGGCAACAGACCGTGGTTTACTAAGTGTAAGTCATCACTTTTTACTTATTTTGGACCAATCGGTATTATATGGTTCCAAAGCTCGTAATAATTGTAATAATCGTCACCAGTATATATGAGTGGATTTCTCGTGGGTTTTAGTAACAGCTCTGCCTGTGAGAACTTTTTTTTTTTTTTTTTTTGGTCTTTTCGTTTTTATCAGTACCAGGGATCGAACTCACGACTGCTTGCAAGGCAGGCGCTTATGCTGCTGAGCTAAATTCCCAGCCCCTGCCCATGAGAACTTAAAAAGCTCTGAAGGACATGACAGTCTTTCAGTGTGGACACAGGCTGGCCCAGAAAAACTCTGCCTTGGGCTATCTAAGGACATGAGAGCATCACAGGAACCCAGGGAAAGGGGAGAAAACCTGCCTGGGGCCTGGCCCAGCAGCAATCTCCGGGGGTTGCTCACCTGTGGTAAATTGGGTCGGTGTTGTTTGCGAGCCAGCAGCAACAAGTTTACAGCTCCGGAGTGTAGAAGTGAGGAATTAATGCAGGATGTAGTCCAGTCCTGGTCCTGAATGGCAGGGGACTCAAACTGGGAGGGCCCCAAGAATCTCTCGTCTGCCGTTCCCAGTCAGGGAACCATATGCTAGAACTGTGGGGGACCGGCGGTGGCTGAAAAGATAAGAAGTATGAAATATAAATGACCTTTATTTTGAGAATGTGGGGAGAGACACCCCTGATCCCCTGGGGTGTGGCATCTCCCCTGGGGTTGGCAATCTCTCTGTGGAACACGTGGAGTGGAGGCATATAAGTACCCTAGGTTTGGGGTGGAACCTAAGGGGAATTAGTGATGCACAAGTAGCCCATTGGCAATCGTTTGGTGCCAGAGGTAGATTCCTAGGAGTGGGGGAGATGGAGCTCCTTGGTTCCACCTGAGACTTTACCAGCTACAGTGTCCTGTTTGGGCCAAAACTCTTTCAGACATCAGTTATTCTTATGTTATTTTTCTTTGCATTCTCTTGCAACTGTTGGATTGTTATTTCATGATCTTTGGTTATTTTAAAGAAATCTTTCCTTTCATGATTGCTAGCCAAGATCCTGTCTGTTTTCATTTAAGTGATTTTTCAGCTTCCAACTGAGTTTTTAATTTCCTCGATATCTATTTGAAACCATTTCATACATTCTATTTGTTTCCTATATTGACCATCCACAATTTCCACGTTGTTCCTATCATCATCTCTTTTTAAAAAAATTATCTCTACTCTAGATTTGCTGAGCAATTCCTTTATAAATGTTGACATTTCTTAACCTGAAAGATTATTTCTGACCTGATTTCCCTGTAGCCTCATGGATTTGTTTCTTTACTTCAGTTGCTATCATTTCAGAAATGTGAGGTATGTTTCTTCCTTTTCCCCTGATCTCATTGTCTCCTGAACTTGTTCTAACTGGGCTGGAGGTCTGAGGTTGCATTTTGCTTCTGCATCTTGTCAGAAGAGACAGACAGAAAGACAGAGAGACAGAGACAGAGACAGAGAGACAGAGACAGAGACAGAGAGATACATTGGAAAGAAGGGCTGTGAAGAATAGTAAGTAATCAAGGAAAAGATGCCTGTGTTGTAAACCAATGAATTTTGGTTGTCAAAATAAGAAAGTAAGTATTGTATTTCAGTCATTCTTAATATTGATATTGATGCTTAAGTTAAACAGTTCTGAAGATAGATGTCTTATTTCATTTATTTTCTATGAAGCAAAATTTATTTCATTTGATAAGGATCACTTATTCAACAAAAAACTCAAAGAAATTTTTAATTAAAAAATGTCTCTTTGTCACATGAAATACATCCATTTAGATTAAAAAATGGGTTTCAGAAAATGTAGTTATTAAATAAAGCTAATACTAATGTAAATAATAATAATATCAAATGCTTTATGGTGCTTACCATATTCCAATCACTATTTGAAGTGTTTACATATATTTATTCATCTAATCATCACAATGAACCATTTAACAAATAAAGAAATGAAGAGGTACTTTGCTCAAGGTCACACAAGCAGAGGGGCACCAAAACCCACCCTCTTGAATACTTAACTGCACCCACAGATCAGGGTGATCAAATTCACCTCTCTACATTTCTCTTATTCTCTCAAGGCACAATTTATGTATCACCCATAGCATTGAAGGAGCAGTGAAGGAGCTCAGAAGCAAAGCCAGGATTTTCATGTTTAGGCATACTTTTTTAATATGGCTAACTCTTATATTAGATGTAGTTGAAAGAAGCTGTCCAAAAACCTGCAGAAGTACTGACCAGAAGTGACTTACAGCACTGAGGTAAACTAAGTTGTGAAATAGGAGGCTTGGCTTAGATGCTCTCATCCTACCTCTGTGAGCTTTGCTTACAGATCATGACTAGGCTATCAAGTGCTAACATGAGTTAATTATTTTACAAAACTGGGGATTGAACCCAGGGCTTTCTCACTAAGCTACATCCTGAGCCCTTTTGTATTGTTTTGTAGTTTGAAACAGACTCTTGCTAACTTACCAAGTTGCTGAGGGTGGGCTCAAATTTGTGATCCTCCTGCCTTATCTTTCCAGAGTGGTCAGGTTGTAGGCATCCATGGCAGTTGATTATCCTGGAAAGATATGAAGGCTTAGTAGAAAGAATATCATCTATTATGTTAGCTTGATTGAATTTTGGAAAAGGGCATTACACGGTAGGGACCCAAACACTTTTCCCCTTTAGGTAGGAGCACAAAGGAGATAAGAAAATTTGGTAGATTCATTAAAGAAATTCTAGCTTCCATTCCAGCAGTAAAGTCAGAAAGGACCATGTAGTTGAGAATTTCTTGAATCTCTCTCTCTCTCTGTCTCTCTGTCTCTTTCTCTCTCTGTAGACTCTTTCTGCGTATCCTACCTCAGCCTTCTGATTGTTGGGATTATAAACATTTGCCAACATACTCAGCTTTAGCTAGATTTCTTAATCTTTGTATTGCTCTTGTGGTTTTTTTTTGTTTTGGTATTTCCCCTAATATTAATTACAAATAATTACTAATTACTAATTACAAATAAAGAACTCTTATTTGTGTGCGTGTGTGTGTGTTTTAAGAGTAGCAAGATAGACACAATGGGAGAGACAGTAGCCCACTCTAAATCTTTTTCCAGGTAACAATGCAAAGTGATAATGTGGGAAAGTCTGCAGGGAGGGTCCAGTTTGAGGATAAGCATAATAAAATACGCCGAATACAAGGGAAAACCAAGGTTGGGAAGTAGGAAAGTTCTCATGCAGCGTCCTGGTAACTGGTTATTTTCTTCTATCAAATCTAATTTTCCCATTAGAAAAGTATTTTAGCAGTGTTTTAGTTTTATTATAGATAGGCTATCTACCTTATTTCTAGTAGTAATTATAATTGTAGCAATTTCCATTGTTTTTTGCTGTTTCACAATTCCATACAACACAAAGTACTGGAGGTGAATGCTCAGGGTGCGGCCGTCAGAAGTTTTCTTTTTTTTAATTAAGGAGAAAAATTACCAGTGAATTGCCTTGGATCTCAAAAGGGATCCCCCTTCCTCAAAGCCAGGGGAGGATTTGCCTTGGAATCTCTGGGGAGTCTCTGTCACATGGTTCCCCTGTACTGGAATCATCGAGGGAAATCTCTTTCTGAAGGGCAGTTTGAGGGAACAAGGCCTCATTATCCCTCTGAGAAAAGAGGCACCCTTTGGGGAGAAATTTTTGAAGTAGTGGATTATGAGATTGGCTTGTTTGTAGTCTGAAGAGATGCCGTAAAAAATGTGAGATTCTTGGTATGGGAGAGTTAAATTAGCAGTAGACCAGTCAAGGTCTTACATCAGCCTAGCAAGAGAGGATAGAATCAAAGGCACAGAGGACAGAATCAAGGACAGGTTTGGGTTTGGGATAGAAGAGGAGTATTTAATTTCAACTTTATGGGAAAAAGTGAACAGTAATTAGGGAAACACTGAAGTGACTGGTAAAGGTTAGTCATAACATTAGATTGGCATTGAGTCTGCAGAAAAGCTGTGTTTAAAAGGTAAATGACAAATGGGTAAAGCCATATCAGCCAATCAGTACAATCTCTGAGGATTTTCTATTTAATTTTCAGGTTAGTTAGTTGCTACCTGGGAAAAATAAGAAAACAGAAAGACTGGGGGATACAGCTAAAGGAACTTGTGACATAGAAAAAATTAATTTGCTTCCTTTTCTCATTTCCCCTTTCAGCACCTTTCTGACATGTTGAATTCTATTTAATCTCACTCTCTCCTTTTTCCTCCCATTGTTGATTCTGACATTCTTTGTCAGGTGTTTCACTTTAAGGGTGACGTCAGCCAAGTGATGAGTATAGCTGCAGCACTCATTTTTGTGTTTCTGATGTTTGAAGAGCCCTTAGGAATCAAGGGATTGACTCTAGCTAGGAGAGATCTGGAAATGGGAGAAAATTAAGTTTTCAGTTTATTGTATTCTATTAATTATTAGGGAATACTCATACTCATTCTCTTCAAATAGACATGTTCTGTATGCAAATCAACCATGATCTTTTCCATACAACAAATTCTTTAAAATTAAAAATTGTTTCCAAATAGAATATGTTCATTCACTAAATGAATTTGAGTTAGAAATCAGTAACAAGGGAACTTTTAAAGTGTTCTAAGTTTGGAAATTAATCCATAGTTTAAAGAAAAAAATCATGACAGAAATAAGAAAATTTCTTATAACTTAATAATGGTTTACAAGTAAACACTTGTAGAAGGCAACTAGAACACTACTTAAGGGGCACAGAACGATGCTTGATGAGGTGGTTTGTGGGTAGCATAGAACACAGTAGCTGATGAACAGTAGAGCAACAAGCCTCTTTTATTGTGACTATTATCAGACATGCCTCACCTATGATTCTCTATCTATGAAAAAGACCCTGTAACATTGGTAAATGCAAAGAAAACCTGAAAGACTATTATCAGAAATGGGTGGAAGAACAGGCTCAGATCCTGATTGACGAGGCAGCAACTGCATCTCAACCAGGAAATACACTTCCAACTCTGCTCTCTGTACCTCTTCCTGCAGGGACAATGATCTCTCTTATGTCCTGTTTCCCAGGACCTCATTGCCTTGATATAACGGTGACATCCCTACGAGGGTCCTTCCCAGGATGCTTGTGATGAACCCACCTCTTCCTGGGATGAGGCCAATGGTATCTCTCCTGGAATGAAGCAGTCCATGGAAGATCACTTATCAACGATCTCTGCTTCCCCGATGACAAGACGCCACTACTGGGTATCACCCTTAATACCCAGTAGTGAGTTGATGAGACAGGTAGGGATGGAAGGGGTCTCTTTTTAAAAAATGTTTTTATTTTTAATTGACAAGTAGCAGCTGTTCATAGTTATGGAGTACACTGTGGTATTTCAATGTATGTATGCATGGTACATAATGTACAGATCAGGTAATTGGTATATCTAGAGGGGAGGCTGCCATAGATCAGATTTATATTACTTGTTCCACATCATCAAAAATTCTTGGTGCTGTGACTTTGGATCTTTTTTCTTTCATCCTTTGTTTCTTTCTCCTTTGTACTTTTTTTTTGAACATAGGTTCTTGCTATGTAGTTCAGCTTTGAACTTGCTTATGGAGCCTAGGCTGACCTCAAATTCCTGCCTCACCCTTCCAAGTCCTGGGACCACAGGTGTGTGCCACCACATCCAGCTTTTTGGGTGTTTTCTAATAGCATGACAAGGAAGGCTCAGTTCTTTTTTTATGAAAAAGGAGTAGAGTGGGGGTGGAGGAAGATGCTGTTTTCTTTTGTTTTGTGAAATGTGAAAATAAAGCTTTCAATTCTTTTAGTTACCAAAAAATGCTTGATCACACTATTATTATGGAAATACAAAGGAAAATTCCAGTGAGATACCATATCACAGTGTTTGGCAAAAACTCCAAACACTGAAGATTTTACCAAGTATGTGGAACAACAGGAATGCTCATATACTGCTGTTGGTAGAAGTGCAAATTAGTCTCTTATTTTGGAAAGGAAGTTAATATTACTCAGTAAGTTTGATGATGTGTGGAAGACCACCTAGACAACTCTCTTTTAACATAAAACAATTACTTCCTCTTTAGATAAACCTAACTGTATCTCCATGCACTGATATGTACAGAGCTGCCTGAGCCATTTCCTTTTCCCGTCAATTGGCTCTAAGCAATGTAAATAGGGCTGGCTGAGCTGCTGGCACATACTCTTTGAAGCTAGGCGACAGTCACTGTTTCCCTGCCCCAGTGTCTCCCTAATCATGGTTGAGCCGGCGTGAGAACCACCACTCCAGGGCTGTTGACTGGATTTGAGCCTTGCAATAAGAGGCTATGACTTCCCAGAGCAGAGAAGTTTGCACATCAGAAACTAAAGCACCAGCCTGCAAGATATTTAATGCTACCTCAGTTGTATTCTGCAGGTTAATCTTTCTGCATATGCTTCTCTCTTCATATTGCAGAGGTACTTTCTGTCTTCTTAGCTAGCCCAGCTCACAGTACTCACATAATTCCCACCATTCTCACAGTCACTCATCCTCTAGCCTCTCCCCTCTTCATGAATTAATAAATTCTGGGTTAGGCTCTGCGTCGAAACCTTTTTTCCAATGAAACTTCATCTGGGCCGAACTCAGAACTCCTCCAAACTATGCCTCAGGGTCTTTATTCTCATCATGAGTTGCACCAGAAGTGGTAGATTAGAATTAATTTGCTAGAATTTCAATAACTTTTCCATGGGATTACAAACGATGTGCATGTTCTACAATCCAGATTTTCTCTGCTTATTATACAACCTTTGAATTATTGTATAGGTACACTGAGGGTGCAAATATAATATTGTTTACAGGTCAGTTATTAGAAATAGCAATCAGGTATAGTAGCTGTTATGGTTTGTGTTTAGATGTTCCCTCCCCAAAGCCTCATGTGGTCATAGGTGGTTTTTTTTCAGAGGTGATTGGGTCTACAGTGTGTGACTGATTCATAGTGCAATTCTGGGATTAAGGGTGTGTGACTGTTAAATCAGTCCGCTGATTGGTTTGGCACTGCCCTAACCCCATAGCATAAGGCTTGTCTTTGTTTCTTATTTGGTTGCTTTTGCTGTTTCCTGCCCACCATGAACTGTTTCTCCTCTCCAATGCAACTTCTGCCAAGCCACCTTAACCTGGAGCCCAACAATTATGGACTCTAACAAACTATGAGTTAAATAAACCTTTTCTGTTTTCACTTTGGGTATCATATATTTTGTTTCAGCAAAAGAAAAGTAACTAAGACAGTGGCACACTCCTGTAATCCTGCCATGAGAAGGCAGAAGAACTGAAGTTCCAGCCCAGCCTGGGCAACTGTTTAGTTACTCAGTGAGACCTTATCTCCAAAGAGAAAATAAAAAGGGCTGGGGATATGGCTCAGTGTGAAGGCCCTGGGTTCAAGTCCCAGTACCACCCTTCTCCCCATGGGAGAGGGAGACAGAGAGAGGGAAAAGGAGAAGAGGAGGGAGAGTGACAGACAGACAGACAGACAGACAGACAGAGAGACAGACAGACAGAGACTTGAGGGAAGTAACTTATTTTGCCCCTACCATCAGGAAGGAACAACTGGAAGGCACCACCCATGAGAAATGAACCTTCTCAGATTTCGAAGTTGTTGGCACTTTGCTCTTGGACTCTCGTCTCCAGAGTCTGAACAATATGTTTCTGTTGTTTGTAAATTGTCTTGTCTAGTACAGAGCTCATGCCTCTAACTATAGAACTCTGGTAGGCTGAGGCAAGAGGATCACAAGTTCAAACCCAGCCTGAACTATTTAGTGAATTAGTGAGACTATCTCAAAATAAAAAATTAAAGATGGGTGGGGGATATAGCTTAATGTAAAGTCCCTGAGTTCAATCATAATTAAAAAAATTACTTAGCTTAAGGAATATCTGTTAGAGTAGCTGGAAAGGACAAATATTTATGTTTACATTTATATAACATATTTCTAAATGTTCTACAACAACAGAAAGGATTACTCTGGTAGCTATGTAAAAAGGGTAGATTACAGAGTCAGGAGCTAATGAAGATATTGGTACAGTATTGAAAAAACAGAAAAAGGTGATAATGGTCACCAGCTTTTTTTTTTTTTTTTTTGGTCTTTTTCTTTTTTATTGGTTCAGGGATCGAACTCATGACTGCTTGCTTGCAAGGCAGGCGCTTATGCCGCTGAGCTAAATCCCCAGCCCCTATAATGGTCTCCAGCTTTTAAAGCTGAATTTGGTACTTTTAAATTAACTGGATGCAGTTGGTTGAAGGGAGGAAAATCTTGGGGATTATTTGATTTTATGGTTTGTAAACTCTAAGTTTTTATAAATTAATAGAAAAGTTTGGGAAGAGTAAGTAGAAGCTAGGAACAGTGCTGACTTCAGTGACCTGAACAGTCCTGATTTGAAGAGAGAGGGAGGGAATATGCTTCCTACTATCTCTTTAGAATTCTGGACCTCTCTGATGTATTATCCATTCAAAAAATAAAAAAGGTAAAGAATAGACGTTTATATTTAGCTTATATGTGGCTGTCCTGATGAGGGAAAAGTTCTTTGGTGGCAAGAAAATTGTAACTATGACTCCACCTATATTTTGGGAATCAGTGATGAACTAGGCTAAATAGAAGATCTTTCTCATTTATTGTAAGCAGGGATGGACATGCATGTTGATTGCCTTTGGGCCAAGGACTGACTCTTGCTGAGGTAAAACACGACAGCAGGGTTGCTTCTGCAATAGGTTGAGTGGACAATCAGAGGGATTGCCATGTCTGGAATAGCACACAGAAAATGATAAAATACTCTCTGGCTACTCCTTGTGACTGCAGGAGCCCCCTCCCTTTTTTTTTGTAAATTTTTTTTTGTCTTTTTCTTTTTTATCGTTACCGGGGATCGAACTCATGACTGCCTGCTTGCAAGGCATTATGCCGCTGAGCTAAATCTCCAGCCCCCAGGAACCCTCTTTCAAAACTCAGAAGTGAGAGCCTGGCACTGTAGCACTTGCTTTTAAGTCTAGCACTTGAAAAGTCTGAGGCAGGAGGTCTAAAAGTTTGATCCCACTCTGGGCAATTTAGTGACTTACTGAGACTTTATCTTAAAATAAGAGTATAAAAAAGGGCTGGGAAAGTAGCTCAGGGTGGAGACCTAGGTTCAGTGCCCAGTACCACAATAGAAATACAAATAAAGTGAGGTTGATTCTTGAAACTATCTTACCTACCTTTCTGTGTCTTTTCTTGTCAGCATCTTCTATATACAATCCTGTGCATGTCAGCTGCTACTCAGCAAGCTGCAGGGGGAAAAAACACTTAAATGTTAATTCCCCAAGAGTTCTGTGTTTTTCTCCAGAATTCTAAAGATCAAAAAGTCCTCAGCACTGAAAACAAACAAACAAACAAACAACAAAACCCCACAATTCCCCACCCCCCGGACAAGATTGCTTTGCAAACTTCCTAATACTTTGGTTTTTTTTATTGTGTCTTGCTTTACAATGTCATTTATATAATTATTTCATTTGAGATGACTTACAATAAACACAGGCCATAAAATAGTATGCTACAATTGAGAATTTAAAAATTAACTCCAGAAAAATAAAAGCTAGAGGAGGAAGTCATGTCCAGGACTAAAAGCAGAACTCAAATGAATGACTAGAATTGAGTTTCAACTTTTGGTCTAGGATTCCTGGTGAAAGTGAAAAGGGACACATGATATGTTACTAGTTATTCTCTCCCTGCCTGGGTCACCCTTGACAAAGCCATCTGTTTTCTGAGAGGAAACACATGACCGTGGAAGAAATTTCTTACATGAGGCAATAAACTTTTATTATCACCACTGATTCTATCCTATTTACATAAGGATACAAAACCAAAAAGAAAGTAAGTTGTAATGTAACCAAAGTTGAGTAAAAGCTTAACTTGTGCAATGGCTATGAAGGAAACAGTGACATAACTGTGTGTCTGACATAACTTACAAAACTGTGTATTTGTTTACCAATTTATATCTCAGCAGCAAATAACTAGGGATTTAAGAACCCTCATTTGTGTGCTTTGGAAATACTGCAATCACCTGATACAGTTACATCATGTTTTGGTTCATATGGAAATAGCTAAAGTAATGTTCACTTGGTTATTCTGTTTGCTAACAAGTTACTTTATAACTTGTGTTATTTCAAAGCAATATTTAAATTGTTCTCTACATAACTGAATGCTTTCATTTAATGGGCTATTGCAAAGCTTTTGTTCAGTATGTTTATCATTGTCTGAGACAAAGAGAGTGTATTTAGATTAAAATTGTAATGCCACAAAACTGGCGGGATTAATTCAAGAAATGGTTGACAGGATGCACTCTTGTACCATCCTGACCATATAAGGGAAGTTATCTGAAACAGCCAGACCTGTATCTGTCTGATTGTAGGGTTTTTCACGACCACATCCTGTTCTGAGACTCTGGTCAGGTCTTCGGTGTGCTTTGCTGGAGAACTGTGTCGGGGTCCTGCTCTGTGCTCTGTAGCTGTGTGAAAGGGTGCTCATGTCTTCCCTCCTACTTGGGCTTGGCTGGGCTGGCTTGCTGTGTTCCTTACAGATGTGAAGCCGGGTGGGCTCATTCTTTATCTCCTTCATATAGGGACTGCAATTGAAGAGCGAGGAACTCCCAGTTTTCTAGCAAAATGAAACCTTGGAGGTGTACTCATTCTTTCATTATGTCTCTGGCACTAAGAATGGGGAAGTAAACAGGACAGACACTGTCTTTAGATACTGTTGAATTAATAACAAGAGAAGAAATGATTTTAAGGCAGCTCTTTTTGATGCATGGTTTATCATTCAGTTACATGGTGGAAATAGTTGACTGGTCACTTAGGCAAGAGTGATATGACAAAGATGATGTGTCCTTAACAGCAGCTGTTAGCCCCACAGTGGTTCTCAAACTGCATTTTGCTGTTGCCCTCTTCCTGTTATGAGACCCTATAGTAATGTTCAAAGACGTTTTTGGATGTCACAACTATGCAGGTGCTGCATAGTAGCTAAAAGTCAGGGTTGCTGCTAATCATCCTACAATGCACAAGAAAGTCTCCCATATTGAAGCATTATTGGGTCCAAAATGTCAACAGAATACGACTGAGAATCTCTGGCTGTCTATGTCAAACCAACTAAAAGAGCTGCTATCAAGAAAGTTTCCTTTAGCCTAATAGTTAATAATACTGACATCTATTGAGTGCTTACTATGTTATTGTTGGCTCTATTTTAAGATGGAGAAACACGTTTAATGGGTTAAGACACTTGTGCAAGTATTAGGGATATAGCTCAGTGGTAGCACACTTGTCCGGCTTGTGTGAGGCTTTGGGTTTGATCCCCAGAAACCAAAGAAACAAACAAAAACCTTGCAAAAGATCTCTTTGCCAACAAGTGGTGGTGCAACGATTCCTCTGAAGCCAGCCTAATGCCTCACTCTTCACCACCACAAGCAGCATCTGAGTGTGGACACCAGGCTTCCCTTATGGTTGTTCCTTAGCTCATCAGAAATTGCTTTAGTGTCCTTCGGTAGGTTACAGGTTTCTGTTGGAAGCCTAAGGAAAAAGATGAGTTGACATTATATTGCGTAGCGCCACCTAAATTTGAGAAAAGAAAATTTTACATTTTAAAACATGTTTCTAATTTATATAATTAATTAGTGGTTCACCCACATGCTTGTACAGCTGGCACATTAATCTGATCCAATTAAACAGAATGGGCTCAAAGTGTTAGTCATATCTAATGCAGCTATCACCGTGTTGACACAGACAAAGCCACAGTATTATAAATAGCAGAGCAGGCTAATGGGTGCTAATGCACTCAGCTTTCATTATTTTGTGCATTGTTGTTTTGATTTTACCTTTCATTATTTTACACTTCTTAGCTGATGAAAGATTTCAGGATCAGACTGCACTGTGCAGCAACTCTTGGTGATTCTGAAGGCAAAGCAGCAGTCCCCTGTCACCATGCTTTTACCTGCATTTCAGGGCCTGAACCCTCCAGGCTATAATCTGATCCAGTTCCTTCACCGGTAGTCTAACTGATAGAAGGTAATCAAACACTGTGTCTGCCCATGTGACAGGGCAGAATTCTTCAGTCTTCTCACCTGAGTCTGACAGGCTGTGCCACCCAGAAGAATGAAAAGGTAACTCAGAATATGTGGGACCCTTGTAGCCCAGGAGGATATCCTTATGAGGAAGAGGAGGTATGGGCCCCACAGATCACAGGTCAGTGTGAGTGTGTTTCAATCCCACCTGAAATGCTGGCTGATAGCGAGTGAAGACGCCTTTAATGGCAGGACAGTAACAACTGTGGGTTAAATGTCAAGGATGTTGACTTTCTTTCTTTTTTGATTCTCATCTAGAGGGGACATGGACAGGTGAAGGTTTTTTTGGGTGGTAAACATCCTTGTCATTAAGACTAATATGTTACTTTTTGTCATATAATTCAGTACATCTCACAGCTGTTATTTCACTCATAACTTCTTCGAATCCCTGGAGCGGTAGAGACTCTGAGTGTGTGTTTCTTGGCCTTCATAAATCACAAAGAAGCTGGGCATAGCAGCACATTCGTGTAATCTCAGCCTTCAAGGAAGCTGAAAAAGGAGGATGATGAGTTCAAGCCCAGTCTGGATAGATCTTGTCTCAAAAAAAGAAAATTGGATGCACAGCTCAGCAAGAAGGCTCTGAATTCAATTTCCAGTGACAGTTCCACTGTCTTGAAAGAATTACAGAGGTTAAATATTTCAAAAATCCAAGGCTGGTTAGTTTAGGTCAGCAGTGTAGCTGCATACTTTAGAAACTTCAGAATTGAAGCTTGTGGAGAATCTGCTGATACTCAACCTGCTTCCAGAAATGTCCTTCCACACTGCCTGCAGGCCTTTCTTGATCCTTGAAGTACTTCTAGTCCAAATGCATGACGATATGGTGATAATAACAACTATCACTTATGTGCGGTGAGCCAGACACAGAGCTGGACTCCTTAAATTCACTCTCACTTCATCTGTCTAGCAGCTCTTTCATTTGTGCCAATTTTACAGAAGAGACAAGTGTAGTTTACAGTGTATGATGTAGGTTGGTCATACAATGATAAGAAAGCAGGTACCTGGGTCTGCATGCAGGCGGCTGATACTAAATCACCCACACTTTCCACTGTCCTAACAAGGACTGTCCTTGGCATCAGGGTTTAGCTGAAAAAATGTGTAGACCTTTAAAGAGCAATGGGATATGAAATGCAAGAAGAGTGACTCTAAATATGAAATTTCCTTCCAGGATACTGCTGATTATCTATTTATTTGTAATTTTCCTCAGTAAAGTCCTGATTCTGTTTTTCACAGCTGTTCTAAAAAGAAGCACACTGTTCTACATTTTCCAATGGCACACAGTTGAAGACATTTTTCTAGTGTGATAAATCTCAGGCTTACTTCTGTCCTGGCCTTTTCCTATTAGGAGCAAATAGGAACCAGAAATGGTGGCAGAGCCCTGTAATCTGGGAGGCTGAGGTGGGAGAATTTCAAGTTCAAACCCAATCTGGCGACTTGGTGAATCAGTAAGACCTTGTTTTAAAATAAAAAATAGGGCTGGGAAGCTAGCCAGTGTACTAATTATTTAATTAGAGTCATACTTCTTGTAATTAATGAGAATTATTTAATTTAGAGTTGCCCAATATGTTGAACTATAACTTCTATCCAGAATGTTTGCAATCTGCATGCTGCATAAGCCAACAGGAAAAATTAAAAAATATGGCCTGCTTTTTTTTTTAAAACTGGCTTCCTTGTGGGATTTTCAGACATGCATGTAACATAGTTTGCTCTGTTGTCTGCTTTGGGGTCAGCTATTCTACCTGCAGGATTTTTACCTCCAAAGAAGGCTGTAGACTTAGCGACTAGGTTACTCAATGTCTGTCCTGCATCATAGGCCTGACATTCACTGAGCCTTCAACCCAGGGCCAACGCTGAGTGCAAATCACGTGATGTCACTGTATCCCTCTAGCCCAGTGTGTGGAATGAGTAATATCTCCATTTTACAGATGATAAAGCCAAGGTTTAGAGAGGTTTGCAAACTTGCACAGATTACACAGTTAGTGACAGAGCCTAGACTCAAGTCAGCCTCTAAATTCTTTTTCAACTTGCCTCAATGGAATTGAAGTTTTAGACTAATAGGGTAAAATGTACAAACATATTTTTTGCCCTCTGTGCAAATCTGAGTGCTCTATTTTTCAACCTCAACCAACTAATAGCTTTACAAGACACTGTTAGCCTTATTTGCTGCAGATGGAGTTTCCAGAAAGCAGGAGGTACAGGTTTGTGTTGCAACACTCCTCCGGCCTCAGCTCAGTGGTATAAATGTTCTGTTACATTTCTAGGAGATTTCTGTTTTTTTGTTTTGCTTAAAACAAGGTCTGTCCATGTAGTCTGGAAAGCCTTTGAAGTTACTGTGTAGCACAGGTTGGCCTTGAAATCACCACTCTCCTGCCTCAGCCTCTAGAGTGCTGGAATATGTACCTGGACCACCATGCCTGGCTAAAATTCAAGTTTTATGATATCACTAAACCCCCAAGTTTATCAAAGTCTGTCAGCTTTTCTAGGTTCTGTCCTACTCTGCTATGTCCCTGCTCTCATTTCCTCCCACTCTCTCCTCCTGAGACTCTGCTCTACCCACCTTGATCTTCCTGAAATCTCCAACAGTATTCACAGCTCATGGGTTGGCACTTGACATTTCCACTACTTGGAAAAAACTTTCTCCAGTATCTGCAAAGCTCTCATTCTTGTCTCCTTCAATTCTTTGCTTATTAGAGTTATTTCTTTGACTACCCTGTGTCAAATAGCATCCTCTTGCCCTGTATCTTGGAAGCCAGTTTTGTTCATGTCCTATCACACCTGTTCATTCCCTCCTCCTTATCTTCCCCACCTCAAATGCAAACTGTTTACAGGAAGGACTCCGTGTGTGTGTGTGTGTGTGTGTGTGTGTGTGTGTGTGATTTACTGCTGTATTCCCAGCATTAAGAACAATGCTTGGTACAAAGGTGCTCAATAAATATTGGTGTAAATACTGGATTAGTTAAACTTTGAATTCCCAACCTTTGTGGCCCCTTAAATGATCTTTTATCTTATATAATATTTTCCTTCCTTCCTTCTTCCTCTGTCTCTTTCTTCCTTTGTTTTTTGAGATGCAGGTCTTATAGTATTGTGTGAGCTAGTCTCCAACTTGCAATCTTCCTGCCTCAGTCTCCGTAGTGTATACTGCCAGGCATGGCTTTTCTTATTTTAAAGGTTATGTGCAAAAGAATCCTCTGGAATACTTGTTTTAAAATGTGAATTACTGACACTGGCCCTCAGATAAAATCGTGCGGATAATTTTCAGGTAACATGTTTAAAACAGTGAAATCCATGTCTACTAAGACTCTTATGTAGCTAGTGGAGACAATAAAATTCAAATGAGTTCAAAGGAAAAGAATAATTTCATGGCTCACAAAATTAAAACTTAGCTCTTCCGTCATGTAGTGGTTCACACAGGGATGTCACCGAGTCCTGTTTTTATCCATCACTGCTCAGACTTTCATACTGGCTTTATTTTGGATTCTGCTTTATGGCAAAATGGTGGCAAGATTTCTAGATGTTGCCTTTTCTCCCCATCCTGTCCACCTGAGAGTGGTTCATCTGGTAGAGTTTGGGATTCATGCTCTCTTCAGCCCAAATTGTGCTCCCTCTTGATCCCCAAAGTGGTCACTGTGATCACAGCTGGGAAGAAAGAGGGCCTGCTGGCTTCCCACACTGCTGGTGCCCACTTCCAGAGCTGAGCTGGGGGTCAGTGAGGTCAGTGGTGTCACACAACTGATTGAGCGACAACTGTTTCAAAGGGAAAGTTTGGGGCCGTTGGAGGAAGAAAGTAGATGCTAGCGAGGTGCTTCCTTTCTTTTGCAGGTTGCTGACCTCTTTGTTCCCAATGCTGATGGATTGCTGCCTCATGCACCTGTTTTAATCTCAGCTGGGAAGTATTTTCTCACTTCTCTATTCCTTTCTGTTGGCATTTCAGGGCCCGGGGAGTAGCTCTCCACAAAACTCCTCACACTTTTTTTCAGTACAGTCATTGCAACACTGATGTATAAAAAAAGTAGAAGTAATTACTCAACCGTACCATTTCTACACTCGATCATGTTCACAAACTTGTCTACACTTGCACTAATTCTTACCTCTTTTCAGGTAGGTTTAAAGCAGTCCGATCTCTGTAATCTAGATTTGGGGTTGACAAACTACAGCCCTTGGGCATGCCACATGGTTTTGCAAATAAAATTTTATGAGGAGACAACTCTACCCATTTGTTTGAGTGCTGACTGTGGCTCCTTTTGTAATACAATGGCAAAGTTGAGTCGTTAGAGATTATGTGTTTATAATCTTCAGACGTCAAAGTATCTACTATATGGCCTTTGAAGTTAAAGTCTGCTGATCCCTGTCTTAGAACCTGGAGCAATTATCTCACATGATCAAGGCTTATCTGCCTTGTTTTGATCTTGTTTGCTCCCATTTCTTCCCATCATTCAGCCTTTCCTGCTGCCCTCAGAGTCTGTCTCCATTGGTTACCTCTTTCCTTCACCAGTGTTCAATGATAATAGCTCAAAAAAAACCAAACCAAACCAAACCAAACCAAACCAAAACAAAACATTCCCTTACTCTT